CGGGGGAAATTCCACAAGAGCCAGCACAAGAGGAGAAAAACTCATCGCAATTGCTGAACGAGTCCACGACTGATCCTGATCAGCCAGCAAGGCCGGAGCTAGCGCCCGCAGAAGAAAAATCAGATGAGGCATCCAAAGCAGTGGTCTCTGAACCAGCCGCACCTACCAACGCTACCTCTGAGGACGCTACGGCACCCAAAGAGGTTTGCTCTACTGCTCCGGATACTACACTGAGTACTCCGACTGCTACTGCTACTGCTGCACAGTCCGACCAACAAGAGAAAACACCTGCTCCAGTCCAGGAAGGACAGGAGTCGCCTGCTATACACGTCGATCAGGCAGCTACCGCGAATGGGGATATGCCACAACCTGAAACCCCCCAGCTCCCACCAGTCATCGAACACACGGGACGAACCCTGACTGTGTTGGAGAACTTCGATGATAAAACTTCGCAGAGTCGGGAATTTAGCATCTACTTCAACGCCAAGAAACCTCCTAGGCTTACAAGTAAGTCACAATAAACCAATCCCTTGCCCTACCCACCTCCCTTCTATACAGGTGTTTTCAAAAGTACAACACCCTCTAACTCCACCTCAACAGAGATCTCGTCGTCGCTCTGCGTCATCACATCCCTTCCATCACGCTATCGAGATCCGGAAACGTCTCTGCCCTTCGCCAACGCTTATGCGTATAACGAAATCCGACATGCCGTGGCGCAAAAGTACGCCTGGAGCCCTATGCTCGGATGTTATGTGGGACCTACCGGGGTCGCGGCGCGTGGAGTTCCGGAACGTTTTTTAGGAGGCCCACAGGCCGCGTCTGATAATAGCAAGGACAGTGAACACAAAGAGAAGGGTGGCAAGAGTGAGCCTGCTGCTGCCGAAAAGGATAAGGAAGGTGGTACAACCCCTTCCGGTGATGTCCCCAGCGCATCCAAGCCGGCGCCGTCTGCAACACCAACACCTGTCACAGCGGATGCAGGTGACCCAATGGAAGTCGACTAATCCCTGGGAAAAGACGGTCTCGACGAGACTGTGGGTAATTGCATGAGAGATTTTCAGGTTTTTTTTTATTGTCATGTACCATATTGTTGCCTATGATACCCCAATTAGAAAGTTTTGTTTGTTATTGGACTGGTCGACCTATTCCTCCCGGTAGAACCGAGGACCTTGCAATTGGAATGACCCATCCCTATCTCCCCGTCTGCCTGAACTAGCTGCGCTGCATCGACCTGTGGCAAATAGCAAGCACCTGTTTATTAGCACCTCCCAGGAAGAGCATAGACCTTCTCCGAGGAAGTTCTCCATGCTAGCCACGCAAGGATGTTCCTGCATCAGACGTCTAAGAAAGTCGAAGTGAGGTCACATCCACCATTATCAAAGACCATGATGGAAATCAACACGGAAAAGGAAAAGGAAAAAGAAAAGAAACAATGCATCCGTCTCGAATTGGTACCGAGAAGGTTAGGTTCAGACCCGACCCAACTGGACGTGTTGATCTCATCTATCAGCTTAATCACGCACCATTTTTTAGATGCTAAAATCTTTTTCCCCCTCCCTGCGTCATTATTATGCCCTTGACCTTTCTATCTATGGCCTTGTCTTTCCGCCATTGTGTAATCTGTAGGACGTCTTACGTTTCGAAAACTTGCGAATGCGGGTAATTCGGCGTCAGGACAAGGTTTACCCTTGCGTTTGCAGCGAAGTAAACCAACGGTTCCCAGATTGTTGTTTGGTGGTTTGTTGTGCCCTCGTACACGGAAGTCGACGGGAGCCCTGTCCGGGAAGTGTAACTGAAAATCTTTCACATTACCCCAATTTGAAGAATTGTTGGGAAGGTCAGAGTTTGACGGGGAGGAGAGAGATTTTTTTATTTTTTTTTTCTTATTTTTCTTATTTTCCGTGATTTTAATCAGGTGGGTTGAGTCCTGTTTAAGTTTGAAGTGGAGGGTTGCATTTGGAGAACTGTTATGATCGTTATCATCATTACTTTGCTTTTTCCTTTTCCGACCTTTCCTTTTCTTCTCTTTTTCCTAGGATTTAAAACCCACTGCCACCGTCGAAAGCTGAAGAAACAACCCGTAGTGTCGGGTCCCCAAGAGCCTTCAAGATGTCCCAATCGGGCAATGCAGCATGTGTGCAGCATGTGAACTCGTGACGACAGCAAGTACCTCTTCTTAGGGCAGGGCAGGTAATGTGATGCGGGAATTGCTTTTTCCTACTGCCCCTCGTGTCTTCAGGGTTGGGTTCCATTAGCTCCCCTCCCCCCCCTCTTTCTCTATGTATGTATGCGTATGTATGTATCTACAAGATATGCATTGATAGGAACAGTGTGTCCAGTCCCTCTCTTTCTCTATCTTCCTGTCCCTCTGCCCGATCACCACCATGATTCGGTACCTGCGAACAAAACCCTTTGATGCACGATAGCACCGCATCAGAAGACTCGCAGGTCTTCATTATTCCCCCACACACCCCCCTCTTTCCCTGCAAGACCGGTTAGGATTGAAACGTGGTTTTAAAGAATAAAAAAAGGGAAAAAAAACAAGAAATGAGTAAAAGTGAGGCTGACGAGAAGTGCGCACGGCCACCCGTCGTCCTCCGTCCTGAAACTGGCGGGTAAGTCAAAAAAGATCCACGGGATGCGCGGAAATGAGAGAAGAGAGGGGGGGAAAGGCGCAGGGACAAAACGGGGCGCGGATTCACGGCGTAAATCTTGTTTTGAAGTTACTGGGCAGGCAAGGAGGATGGTCGATCCTTAGGAATGGCGGGTGGAAATGTCTATCCGCCGTTTACTGTAACTGTTGGGGAGATGCTGATATACAGAGTAGGCATGGACAAGGCGAGTAAGCCCCATATAAATGAATAATTAAACCAATATTCCCAAAGTGGTTCCACATCCGAGTTTAGGACTTGTCATATTGCCATGTCGCATTTGGACCGTTACTACACAATGACTACCAGATTTGTGGAGTAACCACTGTAGTCAGTACCGTACACACTACTTCGTATAATTAATCCACTCTGGATGAATTCTCCCAAGGTGCCTGCATTCGATGATCCCTGAATCGGACTGACCCCACCGTACCGTTGCCCCTCCTTCGGGTGCTCGATTGACCGTCGTTTTCGACAGTTTTCATTGTCGTCGTCGGCTTTGTTTTCGCGTCGTGTTGTCCGTCGGGGTGGAATGCGATGGAAAGAAGGCGCTGTAGTTTACTACCAGTTACAGTCCATCAACTCCATCCAATGGGGATTCCATTCGGCATTCCGTCGCCATCCCAGACCTATCAGAAATCCCACGATTAAAACACCTTTCATTGTCTCTCTTCTGGCGTCGGTCTCGATCTCGATCTTCTCGCGGGATTTATGGCGTCATCTCGGATAACTGAGGCCATTCCTGTTTGTCGCGGGGCCAGGGGATGGCGGTCAACGAGATACCTGAGACAAAGGCCATATGGCAAACGGGCGCCATCATTGGATCTGGAAGTCTGATGATCCTGCCGCACAGATGCTAAGGGGACTGCAGACAGGCTGCAAGCCCACAAGGATATTCATGTACGTCAAAGGGGTGTGGCCCTTCTTCTGGTCCTTCGTTGGTGGGTTACAACCACCCAGGCAAAGCAGTGTCTAGACTCCGAGAATAAAGAAAAAATGGAGTGGGGTCGGCCACCAGCTGACGATGACTACTCCCTCCGTACGACTCTTCCACCGGACTCGTCAGTCCTGGGCTCCTGGCACAATATCTCTGGATGGATGCCCGACTGGCCGAGCCCCGCGTTAGAGACTGGCCAGAAAGCCAAGACGACATGTCATCCCTGGGCATGATCTGATTGGAATCTTTCGTCCCCGGTTGTCTATCGCTCTTCCGATAAGCGTGGTTCGGTCGGTTATGGGAAAAATAGAATTCGGAATAACGATGGAAACTAGTTTAGTTCGTTAATTAGCTGGGGAGACAACTCGTGGTTGCTCGAACGGAGTACATCTACATAGATAGGTAGTATACCTACACCTACCCATAGAATCCTGACGAAGTGTATAAGAATCGGTCAAGCCGACGGATTTCTTCCTGTCTGGAACTCTCCAAGCCGTCGACTCCACCGGATCCAGAGACAACGACCGCCTAAATATAGCTGACTGGTGAGGTAAGCCGATGTCTCTTGTTGTCGTTACATAAAAAAAAGGATTGCGCGTTGTGTCGCCTGCCTCAGGCAGCAGACGGGCAGTCTAGACTCTTCGCCCTGACGTGCTCGGGCTCACGTCACGCTTTCCCCTTCGGCGATCCTGAGGGTTCAGGCCAGCTAACTCGTCCGTCATGCTTTCTTCATTCAGATTCAGGTGGATTCCTCCAGTCCATCTTCTCCAAGGTCCAGCTGTCTCCGATGAAGCAGAGTCCATCGCTCCATCTACTCCGGACCCCGTATATATTTAACCCATCCCCATCATCCATCTTGTCCATCAGCTATCCGCATTGGGATTAAATTTGATCGACCCGATTCTATTCTTAAACGTACACTACATTACATTCATACATACCCCGTCGTTGCCACCTTCAGTCAGTCAAGTTTGGCATCCCTTTCTCTTTCATACCTGCTTACTGCATTGGTGTATTCCCCGAGCGATTTTCCTGCCTTCTTGTCCACCGCTCGATACTCGATAATCCCGCATAGTAGTACGGAATCCATCTCCCTCATTTCATCATATCACATCAACGGCACGTGTCCCGGCACAACAAAAACAGGTCAACAAACGTCTCTTTTTCTTCCCCCTTCTTTCTTCGTTTCTCCCAAAAAAAAAAAGAACGGGAAGAAAGACACCTAACTACCAAGAAAGTGATTTGTTTGGTAAGTCTCTCGCTCCCCCTTCATTACCCGGATTCCTTCCTACGATCCTCTTCGATGGACCCTTATCTCTCCCCACTCAGCGGCCTGTGATAACAGCCAAACTTGTCCACTACCGTCTCGTACAACCAATATTGTGACCTATCTGACCCTTTATGTGCCACAGTGCGTCAGACCTGAAAGCTTATCAGTGGTTGTCCTTTCAATTCCCTCTTCTTTTATCTCTTACTATTTATTATTTCCGTTTATCATCGCACAAAGAATCCCGGGCCAATTTGCCTCCCTGCCTGGATAAAATCTCTCAGATTTGTATTCCCTCAGCATTCCTCTTGCATATCAATTTCCCCGAGAGGCGAACGAAATTACGAGAGATCCCAAGAACGAGGCAATTATCTTAGCGACACTGCAACCACCCAGAGCCACCCGTCGCAATATTACCACCGCCTGAGACAATTGTTCCAACCAGTCGCCCTGTCAACCTTGCTGGCAAATCCCTCATTCTCCATATCCTTCAGGGGAAGAGAAACTCGGTGCTCCACCGCTGGGAACGGCGTCTTTTCTCTTTTTTTTTTGGCGCAAGGTACCAACACCAGATAGGAATCGGGGCTAGTATATTAGTTTTTTTTTTATTTATACATATCCTCACCGCTCTCCATGACTCAAGGACATTATTATCATCCTCACCACCGCCGCACCCTCTCGGGTTCGAATGTTCCTAAAGTGAGAACGGCTCGGCCAACGCTACATCGGAAAGGCACATCCTTTGTGAACCACTCCATCGCCAAGCTAGGCTCAGGGAATCCTCGTCGCTGCCAATCGGAGGACGACCGTCAGCTCGACATGGCGGCCAGCTTCTTGAATTTCTGGTATGCTTTCTTTTATACTGTCTCTCTCTTCCTCTCCCTGTGACCCATTCCTCAGCTCCCGTCGCGGGCTTCCTCCCCTTGCAGATCAATCACTTTGCTTATCTTCACGCATCGAAGCTAACCGAATCCTGCAGTGCCATGTGCGAGAGGCAGATTACAGTACCAGATAACTCGCTTCTTTACTGTAGTGAAAGGTATGCATTTTTTCCTTTTCTTGCCTTATCATCGTATTCCCAAACCGCCCAGCACCGCCTCCCCTTCCCCTGATTTATATTTAGAGCTGAACCCGCCACCTCTCAATCTTGCCTCCCGGTATCATTCCAGATATCTGTTCTCACACTTCATATCTATTTTTAGCTGTCGCCGCAAAGATTCTCATAAACCTCTCTCGGCCTCTTTCTCTTCCAGCAGCTCCATGTCCTCTTCATCTACTCCTCCTACCTCACCCCCCATGTCTCCTCGAATCATAGTGGCTCCGATGACGCCCACGAAAGTGCCCATGTCGACCCCGGCTATTCGGATACCTGGCGAATTCAATGACTCCAAGACGGATCAGGATCCCTCCGAATGGAAGCCCGTAATACCGGCGAGCTCCAGCGGCACGTCGCCGCTGGCTTCCTCCGATGCGTGGCATTACTTGTCTCAATTCCACGGCGGCGAGGCTGCGCTCATGCGTCGTCCCAAAGCCGATCGCCACAGCTCGACCAGCCTGTCTACGCTCATGAGTGCCCCGGCACCCATTCCGTCTCTCGCCCACACGCCGTCCACCGTCGCGTCGTCGGTCAGCAGCAATGCATCTGACTACATGAGCTACGTTCCGGATTCGGCTTTCCGCCCGCTGCCTCCTCGGCACAACCCCTCGTTCTCAAGCAGTGCTTGTGCTACTAAGGGTGTCGAGCTCGTCGTGCCCCATGTGGAAATCCAAGCGGACGACGCCCCGGTCGATGACACCCGAGGATCGATCTTCCCGGCCAACAGCTCCCTTTGGGATGACGCCCCGAACCAAAAGGTTCCCTTGGCAAACGCGGAAATCGGGATCGCCACTCAGCCGTCTTCATGAAAGGCGATCTTGAAGCTGAAACTCCGTTGCGACGCTTGTGATCAGCTATGGGAGGACATGCTTCAACTTTTTGCGGCCAAAACTGCGGAATTGAGCAGCGGGGTTACACCCAGGACCTCTAGGCATGAGGAAATGATGTTATGGTTGATGGAAAAGGCAGCTGGCTCCTTTCCTTTCTTTTGGAAAATTTTTACTATGAATAGAGTTATAATAGCACAAGCGTTGAGCACTCGTTGAAAAGATGTAGTTAACGACCTACTCCGTAATCAGATTCACAAGAGTCGTTAGATTGTCATGTGGATAACCGACGGAGAACGATTATTGTTCGGAGTACGGAGTAACTTCTCGCTCGTGGTGAGTAGACTGTAGACTCTGTGCTACGGGCTTAATTAGCATTAGATTTAATGATCTGACATCTTCAATCCTCGATGGTCTAACGGTCATGATTTCCGCTTGTCACTCAACCGAGAACGAGCGCGGGAGACCTGGGTTCGACTCCCAGTCGGGGAGATTTCTTTTTTGTTTTTGTTTTGTATTTGTGTTCCTGCTGCTTGCCCTCTACGGGGAAAGAATTGTTTTTCGTCCAGGCTCTTTGTATGTTTTTTGTTCGTACCTTGTCTTATCATGCATTCCCGCATCTTCTTGAGACGCCCTCTATTAATAACTAGTTGAGATTGGTCGCCGATATACACAAGACTATGTAGAAGTAATTCTCCGATACTGTTAGATACAAAACAACACCCAGAAGACATCCTACACAAGATAGACTGTTATTATTTCTATACTAGCGTACATAATGCTGCATATACGCCTGCCATCCGTCCATTCAAGCAAATCGAGTGACAGCCTTCTGCAGGACTCCTGCAAGCTTGGCTCCCCGTGCGCCACTCCTTTGGTTATTACTCTGCTGGCAGGGGATCTTTTGATATATAATCCGAAGAAGTGAGCTTGTGCTCGGCATGGAATGCATTAAGTATATGTTCGAATGCGTTGACAAATATCTGGAACTGGTGGAGGCACTGAGAAGCAAACGGCGAGCGAGACGTTGGGAGAGATGCCTGTTTTATGCATGAGATTATAACTCATTGAACATTATCGAGTGGTGATTTCTGCTGAGTCGCCTGCACTATTCGGCTAGAAAATAAGAAGTGTATTACATGCTCACCGTCCTTCTTTGGCTTCGCTGATATTCCAACGAGTCGTCCCGTAGACCGTCAGAGAATGCCTCTCTTCCCTAGTCATGGACCATATTGCCAGGATACTCATGCCAGTGATCACCTTTTGTTGGACCTGGTGATGTCGGTTGAGCTTCTTCTACGTATTGTCGTTCCATACCCACTTCGCTTCCTCTGGCACCTTCCAACGGGAGAGCAGCCACGGCTTTCCCACAGTCAAGAACTGCCCAGCCGAGGAGAAGTACCTAGCGTCATTAGTCTATTCCTCTATTACAAGTGTGACTATTCTGGACTATTAGACTAGCCAGAGCCCGTGTTGATGCCCAAGGGGTCGATTGCACCAGAAAAACGGAGTGGCTTTTTCTTACCCTCCCTCCCCTAACCTAGTTCAGACTTCAAACTTCGTCCACCCCATCACAATCCGCGTCCTTCCAACCCAGCCGCCATCGTCTTCTTCATCAGATTCCATCTCGTTCCTTTATTAGAAACAGAGCTCGATACACAGTCCGTGCCTATGATTCGGTCTATCAACCATCCGCCGTCCAGTCCATCCACAAATCGAGATTTCATCACACTGCCGTCCCTCGTCGTCAATTTCATCATTTCATCGTCACTGCATCGATCTCTCATCGACTACTCGATCATAGCATCACTGTCAACCCCCCCAAAGCTGTACATGCTACCTTGGACACACACCAGAACGATCCACCTTTGCATGTCACCAACGACCGGACAAGGACTCGTCTTCGAACGCCGCTCAGATCTGCCCACAAAGAATCTTCACATAGCCGTTAGCTCTTACGATCATTATCCACCGTGAATGAAGCAATCGACTCGAATGATTATGCGAACTTTGGACATGGAATAGGGCGCGTCGTTCTCGATCGTCCGACTTGGACATCATGGGATGATGACTCTCGCACGCAACGTGGCCAACCGACTTCCCAGCATAACAAACAGACACAAGTGCTACTCCTGTGCTCTATGAGCATCAACAGGTACTATAGATTCTGTTGTGAGAGAATGCTGACATAGACTAGTGAATTCTACTCACCTCACTGCCTTTCTGTTGCCTCGAGATTACAGCAGCCGAAACCATCCGCGATCATACCTAGTCAACCAAAGGGAAAGGGAAATCGATAGATACCGTGAGATCTGCTTATGTTGGAACGATCTACGCACTGGAATACACTGTATAACGACGATGGTTGCATAAGGAGGGGAGGTGTGACCCGAACGGAAACAGCAATAACTCGCTATTCGCTCGATCAATTTGACACATACCAACCTGAACCGATCTCGAACTACCCGTGAAGAAATTACCCACTGCAGGACGGACCATGATGGGGTAACGTGTGGTGGACTTTGGAGTTTACGATCCTGAGAAAGTGTCAACAGGGGTTGGTGGACGGCGTCAATGCAAATTCGAAGAATGACTCGAAAACACTAGCAGGAAGGCACGCGGTCACTGGGAGTTTGTTGCGACAATGGAAACACCAATGCCGACACAAAATGAGTAACGCTTTTTGTCGTTGCGTTGAAGGAGAACAGCAATGAGGTGCTCGAGCAGTCCTTGGATGAGTTAGGGCTGAGCTACCTAACTCTGGGTGAGGTACTAACCGTGTTCAAGTCTAGCTCGACAGCACGTCACCAGCTCGGTCCATAACTTTGAAAAACGAGCTTAGTCCTACAGAGTCGGCTCTGTTTGCATTGAAGCGATTTGTTCAGGCCAATCATAGGTGCCGGGCTGAGTTTCGAAAATGTGGTCTAACGGTCGGACGCTGGCATTTACCACGGGCCAATCTCGAGACACATCGGCATCGGCTTCTTTCGGCAAAGGGAAACGAACATGACCGTCGGCGAAACAACAGAATTCAAGCAAACCTACGGATGCACAAAGCGCTAGGTGATGGAACACTAGTGAGATGGATGTCAGAACCGTATTTCGCGCTACCAAGGCGAGCAGTATTTTGATCAACGATTGCCCGAAGTCCTACAGTACACGCGATATTTGCTAACGCCTGCACTCCTGCCATTCCCTCCTTGAGCCGCGACGCCCGACTCCCACCGACGCATTCCACAACAAAACACATAGAAAGATCTTCCCAACTATTCACTCAAGCCTCAAATGGCAGGGAGCCCTTTCCAATCGGATCATCCGGAATTTGCTTGTCGAAGTCATCCAAATTATCATCCGAAAGACAGCAGACGAAACACCCTTTGTCTTTCTTGAACTAATTGCACAGAACACGCGGTTAGCCCTCACAAGATCACATCGACAGTACACAGATTCGCGAAAAGGGAGAAGAAAAACTCACCACTGGCGCCTTGCAAGACAGCTCCGCCGGATTGGGCGTGCATTGCCCCAGACATATGGTGTTACCCTTGTCTATGCCATGGGGGCTTCCGATCCCGTAGTTCTCATCGTGAGGGATGTCCGGGTTGATGGCAAGCGCGCTCGTGACGAGAAGACACAGCACCGAAACGTATTGACCGGAGAATCGCATCTTGAATGTTCTTCGACCTGCTTGGATTCTGTTCTGGACCCGGATGTAAGGGCAAAGAAAATTGGATAGAATATGGGTGGGTAAGGTAAGACGTGAGATAGATAGGATATGCAGGAACCCAAGTAAAGAGCGAATGACGCGTGCAGGTCGAACAAGCGCGGGTTGATCGTCGATACGTGAGGGTGAGGCAGATCGATTAAACTATGCCTTCAGCGGTGGATGGGGGTTGCGTCTTAAATTTGACCGCGGGATTTCTATGCAAGGGATGGCTATTGTTGTTGTTGACTTTCTACAGCATTACTGACGGATGAGAGGTGACGACAATTCTTACTCAAGACAGGACTCAAGAATGTCTGGATTCCAGGGGTGCCAGATGGAATGCTGGAGAGCGAGCACGTTGGAAAACCGAGCAATGCCTGCCTGTCTGTGCTCCCCATAGCAAGCAAAGCCGGGACTATATGTCTGGGCCACCGTAGAAGAAAGGGAGAAAGAGTAGGGAAGAAGCTGGGCTTGTGGGGTAAGTATTTGCTTTTGAACTATATAGCAGCGGACCAGAGTCGTAGACTTTCACTCAAGGAAGATACTCCGTCATCAAGGGGTGAAAAAATAGAGCCTCAGGCAAGCAAACCCCATATTCGACACCTGAGGACACCACCCAACTGTCTCTCAGTCTGTCTGTCTCGCGTGGTCAATCAATACGAGGACCGGCTCGGAGCGATATCGAATGAATGAACTATGGATCGATCCCATTCTGCTGCTGCCATCCCTCTCGTCCAGGCGTTGTGCTAGTTGCGTACGGTCTGCTGCCGTCTTCTCTAGACTTCTTTCAAGTGGCCTCGATAGCCCAGTCAGTCCATATTGTACTGAACAATCAGTGCAAACCCATCGGTCTCACTCGCAAGCTCCAATCGCGACAACCTTCACCAAGGAAGTAATTGCCATCTAACCAGATCATTGGGATCAATGGAGTGCAGTCTCATCAAGCAAGAGCAACGCTGCGTTTCCCATTTGCCCAAGACGGGAGAGGGGAGAGACAAAAGAAGCCGTTGCCGTAAGGACGTATTGTACAATATACTCTCTGTAAAGTGCATATGTGTGTAGGTATGCCACAATCGTCATCGAAGACCGGGATATAAGACTCTCGCGCGAGTATAAAAGTCTGCGTACGCAAATCGAGGCTGAAGGACGCACAGGATGGACTTGACGAGCCTATAGATGTCAATTGAGAGCCATTTCCCACCATGCCTACCTGTTCTCTTTGCGTTGATCTTCTCTTGTCATTGGTGGATCGTGATGCCGGGTGTCTTGGGCGTCTTGCTAGGGGGTTCGGGATTCGGGAATCGGTTCAACCTGCTATCTTTCTTTCTTTTCCATCATTGTGAACGAAATGGTAGGTATCGAATCGAGAATCGAGAAGACTTTTTCTTTCGAGTCAATGACGCCCCTGCGAGGGTACCGAAAGAACTCTGGAAAGATTGGCGCTTTGCTCGCCGGAAATTCCATCAAGCCACAGTCGTCATCTCAAGGATCTGCAGGATAGGACCCAGAATGCCCTCAAACCATTGTGCGCCTCATAATGGTCTCCCTCACTATGCAATGAAGCCAAGAAAATGCCAGGGAAGGCAGCCGGAGCACCCTATAATACCATAAGAGCTGACGAAAAAGTTGTCGTTAATACGAGATGCCCATTTATAGGTCATGTCCAGGGTAACTCCACTGCGCCCGGAAACTGTTTCCAAGCGAGCGAACCACAGAAACGTCTGTCTCAAAGGGATTATGACCATTAAATTCTCCTTTCGTACTCTAGCAAAGACACAGAGACTCTAACTTTGGTCAATGCCTATTTCGTTTCCACCTAGCTCGAGACGGGCTAAGGAGTGTCTCAGATTGCCGTCAACGAAGGTCGGTCGTTGTTGATCTTAAGCCTTGCACGACAATTCCAGATTGAGCAACTTCTAATGCTTGCTCTTGAACTATGATCAATGGAATGGTAACCGTGCATCCTGTGGGTTTGGCACATAGCTCTATTCATATTAGTATGACCGCTGCCGATATAACCAAACGGTAATCGGCCGAGCTATTTCCCCTTATTGTATCTCAAAAGGCCTCGAGATCAAGTCACGGAGGATCTTCTCAAGAAGACCGATCAAGGAGACCTGGTAAACACAGGACCCTGCGAAACCCATGCATTGGGCTTCGTTCTAGGGAGTGTACCCTGAAGGTAGATCTGGTACGGCAGAACCCTAACAGTGCACACTCACTCTCAAAGTATGTCCACAAACTTAATGCACGGAGTAGAGCTGTGCGGCAAGATTGGACGAAGCGTACTGGCCCACTTGGTATCGTTGGTAAGCAAACAGAACAAGATGAGTGAAACAGCCGGGGTACGTCAACTATAGTCTGCGATGATGGTCAGAAAAGCGGCAACCCGTCATTGACCAGGCATGAGTAAGGCCTCGAACAAGCCACCTCGGATTCTGCCGCCAAACGTGCTTTCCTGGGAGGTATAAATCCAGGGTTCATCGCAATCGGTGAATAGTAGGCGTTGAGTGGAGCTCCAATGAGGTCTCCAGGATGTATTTTCCTTCACTAGGTGGACTCCGATTGGTGCCACACGACGCCAGGTCGCTCGATCTCGTCTGCTGCTTTTGCCGTCTCTTCTCCCCTCCCTTTCCTCCCTAGGGGGAACACATCCTCACTCCGAGACACTGGGCACCTGTTCTCCTCGTCCACTATCTTTGTCACACAAAGGTGAAAGCATCGAATGGGGTGGCTGTTCAACTCGATCGGCGAAATAATTTCGACATCGGCCTTGCCCATGATCGCCACAATCCCACACCCACGCACGCTGAACGGAGATACTCTGATTTAGCGAGCAGTAAAATGGAATTTACAATGGGTGTTCACCCCCCATCACCGAAGAAGAGGTACCAACACTAAGGTTCAAGGGCCAGCAAAGCCTATGTTCCGAACCTTGATGGACATGCAGATCAAGGGGTCGGTAGGATTTGTCGAATCTTCTCAGTGCAAAACACGAGGACGACTAGTAAAGGAAATCTTTATCGGTGAACCGGCCACAACTGCTCGACAGACCTTGGAATATGAACACCATACCAGGCATGGGTAATCTTACTCGATAACCGTGCCCGTATGTGGTCCTCAACACCATGAAAAAGGGGTCGACATCTGACCCAAAGTCTCGCAAGAGGTGAGTGACAGAGACCGCATCAGGCGCTGAACATAACAAGATCCAGGAGAATATAGCCCCGGATACTAATCATAATAGAAGTCGGCTAATCAAATGAAGTCAGCATCGAATAAAGATGATAGCAACGACTTGCGAAATCCCACTATACACCTCTACCCTAGTCGACCCATTGAAATCAATCGCGGCAAGATGATAGGCACCTATGATTCATGCAAAACCCAGAACATTTCATAAAGACAGTTCAGCTCGTATACGAGGTTGGCCCGATGTTAACCCTCACGACCCTGGCGACCCTGTTCGCAGTAGCGTTAATATGCTCAAATGAAACAACGCGATTTTCTCATCTTTTCATTTCCTCTGGAGCATGCTGGGCGCAGACGCTGGACGCCATTTTGCAGATGAGGACAAACCCATAGGGGTTTTCATGACAACACCCCATATGATGGCATTCTCCCTCGCCAAATAACAACAAAAAGGACATTCAATGTGCGATGAAAGCTTGGAATCTTGACACATTACATGGAGTATGTTTCAACTGCTCCACAATCGAATCGCCCTTCTGATCCACCAGGACATCGTCACCCGGAGAGACCGACATGGATCAGAACCGATTCATGTTTTACGTGACAATTCGCGATGGGCCAAATTGCCAAAAGTCTTGAAGGACATGCGAAGAGCCTATAAACGACAAGTGAAGCGCAGAGGAACACGCATCATGCTGTCGGAAGATATGGAAAGGAAATATGGGACAGGGTGCTCAAAACATGCCTCCAAAACCCGAAGGGAATTGAGTCGACAATGCATCTGAGCACCTTTACGACCTAAGCCCTGCGTTAGTGCGACACGATATACCATTGAAGTGCACGATTTGCAGGAGGGGGGCAAATATTGACCATGCGGCGATCTTTGCTCCATTGACCTCCGGAAAATCGCCCTACTTTCCTCAACAAAAGCCCTACTAATGCCTCACAAGACCATATGGTAGCTAATACCAAGCCGAATTATTCTCGAGACAGAAGACTTGCTGCAGATCCCATGAAAAAACCGCAGTATCGGTCTAAGGAAATGCCCCGAAGCCTGTGTTCGATAGAGAACAGGAATTCGTCCTCCTATGATGGAATCCTTGAAAGCTATTCATTTATTCTTGACGAAAACGCACGGGCTCCGTTGACAGGTGATATCGGTGCTGATCGAACAACTACCCGGAGTCTGGTTCCAACTTTGGCCAACAACACGCGCATTCTAATATCCTGTTTATGAAAAACGGAGGAAGGCGACGACTGATATGTATTCGTTCGAAAGATTCACATTGAAGTTTCGGGGAGAATCGTTAATCGGCGGCAATCGACCTAGGTGACGCTACCACATGGCTCGGCTGAGGAGTTTTCTGAAATAGGATTTCAGAAGTCCCGGAAGTTGCACGTTGGTTCGACACCCAGGCATCAGCAGAAGCTTGATCCTGTAGTCAACCCAAGTTACGCCGTATGTTGGGATGACTAAAGCATTTGCCACCCGACCTTTCGTGAATGATAAACCATGGAAGTGAATTGGTAAACACTTTCCTTGGTGGCTTGTTCGATGTGTTTCTTGGTCGCTATCCGTGCCATTCGTTCCCTTGTCCTTTGATTTTGCCAGGGAAAAGCAACCGGAGGCCTGGACTGACGGAATCCCTTTGATTTGATGGCAATGAAAGGTCGACCGCAGGATTATGCCTTTTGAAACCGCCTCGAACTCCGGCGCACGAACTGAGAAGGATTTGGTTCGATGCTCAGAAAAGGGGGGCGGGTGGTCTTCGAGCAAGAAAGCGTTACATAACTAGAGTTGGGATATGTCCATCGTCGAAGATAAAGCAGCCGGTGCGAAATGCTTGTCCTGTAGATGTCAGCAGATCATCTCACTTCGTTGAGGCGATTCTTTGGTTCTTCCCGTCCATACTGACGATAAGCAGTGCTGCTGGGCTCCATGTGTCCATTGACCCAGGCGTCAGCATCACCCAACGCCATCGACGTGACCGCAATCGAAATGGACGGGGAAAGGGATGAGAGGAGTTACATATTTCAGGGACTAAAAAGTTTGAAAAAGTTCGATCCAACGAGTGCGTCCGAACGCTGGGCAACTAGCGAGTGACGTTCCTCTCCCGAGACAGTGGCGGAGACACAACGAGCGACCAGATTGGCTGGTAATTTTATCCGAGAGCCCATATAGTCCCAGCCATTCCACGACTGGGGAACATAGGCCCTGTTTTCCTCAATCGAGCTCTCGAACATGGCCTTTTGGCCTCACGCACCCATCCCGTTCTTCCCTCGCTGTCTCTTACGCCTTCTCCCCCCTCTCTTCCTCGTCTGGTCTGGTCCCGTGGAGGTGTGGTATGCAGGGTGAATCGGTGGCGCCTATTCCAATGGGAGCCATCGCCCAAGTGCCTACCCGCGTCGTTCGACCATTGGCGTGCTTTTACCTTCCTTGCCTGCGTGGCTGTTATTTCCGGACATCCAGCTCTGGCTGAAGGGACTTCCTTGGAGACTAACCTGCCAGTCATGATTCGACGATCTTGCTCCATCGTGGTTTAGGTCGGTTTAGGCCAGAGACCCCCCCTCCAGCCTGATTTCACCTTTTGTGTCGGTCTGTCGTTTTTTCGCCGTTGAAACTTGAATCCCACCTCTGCGCCGTAAAGTGGAGCAATAACCTCTTCCGACTGGACGGTCGTGCAATACTCTCGAGTGCGTGCATGATTCGACGCCGAAAATTCCAGCCTATTATTACTGACGTGTATGTACCCAAAGAGGGACTGCCGTCGTCACGGACCCCATGCCCTCGCTCAGGCACATCGATCGATCGGACAACACTCGGTTTGCGGGGCTCTGGACCGGCATAAATTGGAAGACGTGGTATCATCTTCTCCCTTTCAGCTCTCTCCCCTACTCAAGCCGCTCAACCACACAAACCATAAGGCGCACGAATACGCTTCATCGACTACGTTGGTGCTCGACAGTAACCCACGACGTGCTGGATTCATCCGTCGAGAATAAGCAGGTGCAGGACCACGCAGGATCATAATGGAGCAGCAAAACAGGGGTTCTCTGAACAGCTCGGAGCAAGGGTAGGGCACCATCTCCCTTTTCCAACCGGGTATATTTGTGTTTGCGAAATCTTGTAACTGGTAGAACCCGGAAGTTGTGAGGTCGATGGCTCTTGAGATGCTAATATCTATTGAACTAGCGGAAACCACGATGACCGAAACGGTGTCCCTGTCGACACACAGGCCGAGAAGCTCCGATACTACAAAGACTACCTCGAACAAGTGTTAGATTTGGTTCGCCACAATGACCAGGCGGATTTAGACCGCATGGTGTCTGTCATTCGCTCCGGTGCTTCTGACAAGGAAATCCTTGCCGTTTTAGCCGAATTACAAGGCGAAGTCAACCACACCGGCCAAGATGGACACGCAGGGAACCCTTGATCAGAACGAGGACGGTAGCAGATGGGCTCTTCCAGATGGGCTCTTCTAGTTCCCTGGCCACAATCATTCGGTACAGGCTTTGATGGCTTCTTGTGGTGTCTTTCTCCTTCAACTGCGTGGCGGTTAGTGGGTATCCAGTTTCGAAGACTCGCGCTCTTAGATGAGATACTTGACTCTAGAAAAGAAATATGTATCGCCCGTCTTATTTGCTAGTTTGCCTAGGCACTTCTCTCTTAATCCTGTGTTGTTTTGGTTGAAAGATGGCTTTGAATCCTCAAATGCAGTGGCCTATATGCTTGCAAATGACGCAGTCCCAGACATTATCATTGATCGATTTCAACCTCTCAGAGCACAGCCCGCTTTGTGTGGTAGTTGGCTGGAGGGTGCCTTCTGGCTTTGTGCACTTGTGAAGATTTCATCGATTCTAATAGAAAAGACAACGTATACAGTCAAAACCACTGATACGTCAAGGTTCAGATACATAATAGAAAGAAGTTTCGGGTGGGCTCAGCCTACCGGTATTCATGTCTCCGAAATCACTCTTTGGTCGGTGCTTGAAGAGATGGGGATGAAGGTAATGAGATGGAGATGAGTGTAATGGAGGAAGGGGCACCAGAATAAAAGCAAGGAATGAAATAAAACGAACTGGAAGAAAGTGATAAAAGTAAATAGCTCGCAGGACATACTGCGAGGATAGTAAAGAGGATGAGATCCAGAGCAGAAGAGGGCAAAGCAAAAGATGGCAGGAGCAAAAGAGGTGCCCTAGGCCAGTAACCCCCGCTGATCACCCTTCCTCTCTCTCTCTCTCTCTCTCTCACACACACACACACACGTCTCCATAGCCGGGTCCTTGAATGTTCATGGTTGCTTCTGTCTACATTGATATATTACTACTCCATTGTTGATCTTATATGGCATTCTCATACTCGATATCTAAAGCACCGCCTTGTAAATCCATGTGATGTGAATTCTTCAGCAAGTGCCTCTGTAACAGCTGCCCGGGAATTAATCGAGGCATATGACACTTGTTTTGAGATAACTCGGTTCGGCAATTCAAAGACTGAAACGGAACCTTGGGTCATCGTCCCCTAGGTTATTGAAAACATCTTCATCTAATTGAAAACGTTCATCACGCTTTCCCTGGTCCCTCATCTTGTTCTCGATCACCAGCCCTGCTGCGAATATCGTGCTCATAATGCCACAAAACACCATCATAGCCAGGGAGACACTGTACCCAACGATGTATTGAGGAGCCGCATCTCTGTTGAAGATATTACTGGCGATGATACCACCGATATTTCCGAATCCGACTTGAATCGCAAGCCCGATAGCACGTTTGTAATGCCCACTCAGATTGTTGGCAAACCAGACGATGGCCACTGGTTGAACGATGTAACACCCCGTGGTCACGAAGAAAACTGCCATATAACGGACTCGCACGTTCAGTCCACCCGAGAGTGGCCCTTGACAAAGGAGAATGATATACCCGATGGAGGAAAATATGACTCCGAATATCACGAACCCGTAACGATGTTGCACACGATCTGTCAGATAAGACACAATCACAGTGACGGCGGCCGCCACCGCCCAGACTGGGATGCTTTGTACTTGGGTCTGAACGCCATCATATCCCAATGAGTTCACAATAGACGGAATGAACAGCGCGGTTGCATACCCCGAGACGGTGATTCCGAGGTAAACCAGACTTCCAACATAGATCTTCCAATCAGACATTATCCGCTTCCATGCCGCGGCATCAAGTCGGTCCATTCTCGCCCCCTCGCCGACATCACGAGAGTTCCGTTCTTTCAATAGCCTCTTCTCTTCCTCGTTTAGGAATTTGGCCTGTTCAGGCCAGTCGGCAATGATGAACTTGGCGGGAATAGCCGAGACGATGGATAAAAGACCTTCAATTATGAAGATCCAGCGCCAGCCCGAGTAGCCACTCATTCCATGCATATGATGAAGGGCGTATGCCAACAGACCTCCAAAGGCGCCGGCTACAAGACCGGCTACCCACAGAAGGGAGAAGCGTTTTTGGAAGTCATGTCTCTTATAGTACATTGACATGAGGTATGCACACCCCGGCACGAATCCACCTTCACAGAGACCCAGGAAGAAACGACAGGCGATCAATCCGGAAGTGTTTTTAACAACCCCTTGACACATACACACAACACCTGCCTGAAATGTCAGAGAATGAGATCGAACAAGTATGTAGTCTTCATCACTTACCCCAGCAGAACGTTAACACGCTGATCCACGTCGATGGCGAGAATCGTTTGAGAATGATGTTGCTTGGAATATCTGCTAAGATATATGGCACGAAGAAGATCTGCATTGCAATACTCATATCCGTCCCAGTCATGTTGAGCTCTTGGAGAATTCCCAGGACACTGACGTTTCCAAGATTGATACGATCCAGGAAGCCAAAGACAAACACAATCCAAAGGGGAACCATCAGATGTAGGTCAATCTTCCGCAAAAGTGCGCTTTCTTTCTTCTTGTCAATTTGGGGACATCTTCCTTCCGAGCCCTGCTCAACCTTCTCGATGCCATGCTCTGGCTGTTTCTCCATGGTTCTCAAATTCACGGATCAAGGGACTCAAGAAAAGATTCCGACAAAATATGCCTCTGTCATGGAACGAGGTAAGTACAGACGATTTAATATTAACAAAAATCACTAGATGAAAACTAAAAACAGAAACTGAACAAATAAAAGAGACATCCCCCGTAATGCAACATCAACCGGGGACTCTACTTGTCTGGCCACGAATCCTTGTATTTATCCATGCAACTATTTCCTAACGAACATTGAGGCCAAGAGTCCAGTCCGATGATGGCTTGAGCAATTTCAGAGTCACCAGAATTGTCGAGGTGCGTTCCCCTCCCTAATCATCCTAGTCACCCCTGCCAGTACAATAATACCTGCAATGTGGCGTAGTAACGAGATGCAACTGCGGTTCAGCTTAATTAACCCCCAGCGGACTAGCAGGGTAGCACCAATGCCCTAGCGATACAAGTCCGTACGGATAGATTAACCTAGGAAGCGATCCGCACTTGACTTATTGAATCACACAATTATATCGAGCTTGGCCGGTGCAGGCATCGGCCCACTCAATTAGACGCGATAAAAGGGTAAAAAGTACGGCGAGTCTCATCTATCCTGGTCGGCTTCCTTGTCTGTTCGAGGTAACAATCCGACATGGTCGACCGTGAATCATCCACCAATCACTGGCAATTGAGGCAGAGATAACACGGGTCAAATAGGGATGCGAGGGGGTTTTCGACAGGGAATCCTATACTGGTACGGAGTCTAGAAGGCGTACCCTTACGACCAAGCCCACGAAATGCCTAGCTTTGCAAATTCTCATTCTGGGCACTCTTTTCCCCCTATGCCCGAGAAACATCCTTGACAGGGAGAGTCTCATTGAACAGCGGCACCATATACTAAAATGTAGACATCAACCCCCAAGGCATCTGAGCGTGGCATCTATCCGATCAGCAAACAAAAGAAATGCCATTGTTCAGCCACTATGGTGATATCCCAGACAGCTCTGCTGCACTGTCATACCCATCGCTAGTCTTTTCCATCCTCACCCCCATCATTGTTGCTACAAGACTGCTCGGTCGACAATATCTTTCCGGTCGGATCGGGCCAGATGACTGGACCATTTTGGCATCTTGTGTGAGTCAGGATGAAGGCGGCTCTTTCGCAACGAGTCAACTAATACAGTCTATGGTCAGGCCTTCGCAGAAACGGTGTCGATTCAAATGATAGTTGGTCAGTGTGCAAAGACTAGAAGCAAGCGATCTTTATAAAATTTGCTAAGCGGACGTTGTCAGTTTGCAAGGGGGCATTCGGCAAGCATGAAGATGATGTTTCTCAGGAATTGCTCCTGCGAACATTAAAGGTCAGTGTTATGATTTCTTGGATACAATGCTGTCTGGGGAAGAGACTAACAAGACCCATCGTTCACAGCTCTACTTTATCGCCCAGATATTATATAAAATCAACATCGGCCTCACCAAAATCAGCATCTTACTACTTTACCTCCGCCTCTTTATCCAACGCTGGTTTTTTATCACCTGTTGGACGTGGATCGTGATCATTACTGCTTTTACTCTCAGCACCGTGATATCTAGTATCTTCCAGTGTTCTCCCGTCCAATATGCCTTCGACAAGTCTCTCCCCGGCCATAGCTTCTGCATTAACTTGACCGCATTCTGGTACGCCAACGCCGCGTTCAACATCTTTAGCGACCTGGTTCTCGTGGCTCTCCCAGTTCCAGTCATCAGTCGACTGCAACTGCCCCCGAGACTGAAGCTTATTCTCTGCGGCATTTTCGCCGTTGGTATATTGTGAGTGTGCCCCCTATCATGTCCCCAAGACCAGTCGAATTCAGCCAAACCACCTGCTAATTACCTAACCCTCCTCCCCAAAAAGCGTCTGCATCACATCTATCCTCCGCATCACAACCCTCGACATCGCAACCTCCTACCTCGACATCACCTGGAATAGCATCGACTCGTCCAAATGGACTGTCATTGAATCCAACCTCGGCATCATCTGCGCCTGTCTCCCCGCTCTTCGTCGCCCTCTTGCCTTTCTCTTCCCGCACCTCTTTGGCATATTCTCCCGCAGTGCTAATTACGCTGCCGCCGCCGGACAAGTGTCCCACTCTCGCGCGAGTCGGCCGAACCATTCTCTTGACCCTACTCGGAGAAAGTCCAGGACTGCATTGAATGAATCCGTATCACGGTACGTTATCCGCGCCGAGAAGCAAGGGAGTGCCAGCCAGGAACAGATCCTTCCGGGTGCTGGAGAGTATACAAGGGAGGGCATTCGGAAAACAACGTACGTATCTGTCAAGTACGACGAGTCTGGGGAGAAGACAGGAGATGTCGTTGAGATGGACCGGTTTGAAAATCGGCGTTCTTGAAGACATCGCATGCCCTTGCTTTCGTGGTTTCTGGTCGGTCTACTTTTCAGGAAAATCGATCACATATCTATATGTCCAAACAGACGAACAATCGTAAATTTTTGTTTGACGTAAATCTAGTAAAATTCCGTCTACTGCAAACGCTATATGTCTCTCCTTCTTTTCTTTTTCTAAGGCGTGCAACGGCCCGTGTAGCGAGGATACAAGCTGCAGTCTCTCACGGTGTAACGACCGCACAACCAGGCGAGGAATCGTTCCAGACCCAGACCGTATCCACCGTGAGGGGAGGTTCCGTACCTGAAACGCAAGTGGGTTAGTTTATATTACAGATAGATTTGAAGAGGCAGAAATAGCAGAGGGAAAAGAAACTTACTTGCGCTGGTCAGTGTACCAGTAGTACGGGGAGGGGTCCATGCCCTCGTGCTTGTAGGCGGCCATCAGCTCGTCCCAGTCGTCCATTCTCATACTACCACCGACGATCTCACCAACACCGGGCATCAGCACGTCGACACTCTCGGTGACGCGGCGGTCCTCGACGTCCTTCTTCATGTAGAAGGCCTTGATCTCGGCGGGGAAGTGGGTCAGGAAGATGGGCGAGTTGATGATGTCGGTCATCTTGCGCTCGGCGGCCTCGGCGATGTCGTCGCCGAACTCGTGCGGCTTGCCCTCCTCGTTGGGGATGTCGTGCTCGCGCAGCCACTCGATGGCGTCGGAGTATTTCATGCGACGGAAGGGGCGGCTGGGGGGCTTGAAGTCGGGGTTGAGCTTCTGGATGTAGCCGGCGATCTCGGGCTCGGCCAGCACCAGGTCCATGACGCGGCAGATGACCGCCTCCAAGTGGTCGAGCAGGTCGCTGAAGGTGATGAAGTCGAGTTCCGCCTCGATGTGCGTGTACTCGGACAGGTGACGACGGGTGAGGGACTTCTCGGCGCGGAACGACGGGCACACGCAGAAGACGTCACCCAGCGAGGGCAGACAGGTCTCCAGGTAGAGCTGAGACGACTGTGTCAGGTAGGCGTTCTCGCCGTAGTAGTCGAACTTGAACAAGGTGCTGCCGCCCTCGACCTGGGTCTGCACCATGGCCGGCGGGGTGACCTCCAGCATGCGGTTCTCCTCAAAGGCCGTGCGGAAAGCCCGCAGAGTAGCGGCGCGCACCTTCATCACGGAGGAGACGGTCTCTCCGCGGAGCACCAGGTGGCGGTTGTCGTACAGGGTCTGGGGATCGGCATCCGGGGCCACGCGAGTGGTGATGGCCTCCTTGTCACCGGCGGCACGGCCGATGATGGTGAAGAAGTCGGCGTGGAGCTCGCGGTCGTTGGGCGCATGCTGCTTGGGCGGGACCGCGCGCATCTCACCGTGGATCGACATGGAGGTTTCGAGGGTGAGGGTCATGATATCGTAGGACTTGGCCAAGTCGCCGGTCAGGATGCACTGCAGGTAGCCATAGCCGTCGGTCAAGGTGAGGAAGACCACTCCCTTCTGAGCACGCAGACGATGAACTCGGCCCAGCACGCGAACCCGAGTACCCCGGGTCTCCGGCTCAGGCTTGCCCAACGTCACGACCGCCGGGTCCGTCACGTCCAGACGAATCTTGACCGGCTTGGGCAGAGAGGTATCCTCCTTGATGACCACCTTCTTGGCCTCTTCCAGTAGAGCCTGACGCTTGTCCGCTTCCTGCTTCTCTCGAATGGCCAGATCCTGCTCCTTGGCGGCCTTTCGCTTTCGTTGTTCGTACAGGTTGGTGGCCTTCTTCAAGGCGGATTTGGTGGCCGGCTGATAGACCAGTTTGGCGGCGGGATCGGCACCCTCGCCCGTGGGCTCGGTTTGCGACTTGCGCGTCAAGTACTGGGTGCCATCGGCGGGAGCATGCTGCAGCATGGCATGCAGCAGCGTCTTGTAAGGGGCAGACTCGGTTCCAGTCGCGGTGGAATCGTCCCGGCCGACATCTTCGTCAATGTAAATGGAAGCCATTGTCGCGGACTGTGTAGGATAGAGAATGTGTTAGACAAGAGGGAGACAGAAGAATTGGGCTCGTAAGTGTTAGAGCAGAGATAAAAGCGGTGGTATCATGGAGTATAAAAATATGTTGGAGGAGAAATGTACACGGCATGGCTCATTAAAGGTATAGGGATCGCGAGGTGAGTCACGGGCCTTATCGAGGGGGTGGAGGCTAGCAGGGGCCACAGAATGCAACCAAATTTACAATATAGGAGGAAAGTGTTATGACCTACCAAGGTTATGACTCAATCCAAAGAGTATGTATTGTCGCAGCAAGTCCCGCGCCGGAGAAGATGAATCGCACAGTGCAGAACGACTTCCTGGAGGGGTAAATTTCTGGATGCGGACGGCGGACGGTGGATGCCGCGGGCACCCCACATATGCCTCAGGCAGCAGATTACCTGGTGCCTTGGTGCCTGATGGCATTGATACCTGAAGGCCTGAGTGCCTGAATGCCAAAACGCTGGCAGGAACAGATCTCTCTTTTGCAGTTGCAGCAACTCCTACAGTCCACTCCAAAAAGTAAAATTCAACCGATGGGACTTCCTCTAAACCTCATTTTCGCTTCCTCTACACGAGCAACCTAATTGTTTCCGAACAGCGGAATTATCTAGGTCGAACTGAATCCTACAGAGAAAGTGGCATCTTCTGCAGCCGGCGCGGATCAATATCTCGCCGAACAGTCCGGAGCAGAGGCTCTTCTCTCTCTCTTCCACTTCCAGCCTTCCCTCCCGTCCAAATCACTCTCTTTGTCTTTGTCTTCTTTTTTCCCTTTCATCTTCTTATTTTTATTTTTATCTTTGATTTTTCCTTTGTCCTCCCACCCCCACCACTAGTCCCGATCTGCCCGCTCTGAACCTGAAGAAAATGGATTTCTCAGATGAAACATGACGACCAGGAGTCTTCGGGTCCCTCATTTATGACACTCCCGGTCCAAATGATCGACTAGTCAATTCTCCGCGTTGGTTTCGGTCGCCCGTCCCTTCCGCTCTGTCTGTTTCTGAGAACTGAGAAATGCCGACGATGAAGATTGAATCTTGAAATCTTGTTTCAGCAGTGGCCCAAATTGACCGGACCAGATCATCGGCATCTTGATTCTTTGACGGCCACGACCAAATTTACAATCCTCCGTAACATAGGAACAGCAACGATCGATTGACGTTGACAGTTCCGATGGGGAATGGTCGGTGGTACGCTAAGAATGGACTACTAGCCCCGACCTGCTAATCAATCATCTTCTTCACCTCTCTCCACAGGGGAGTTGACGACTGCCTATTATTATTATGATGCCGTCGCGCTAGTCGCTTTCCTTACGACGCCAATGTTTGGTTCATCGCGAACACCCCCTTTTTCTCCCATACTCCGTACTGCATCTTCGTTTGATTATTATTGTTGTTGTTAGTATTCATTCCTTCCTTCCTTGCTTACATGGTGATCTCTGGTGATTATCATTATCGCATTAATCTTTTTTTTTTTTGTCTTTCTTCAATGTTTGGTTGGCTCAGTTTCTCCACGATCGTTACCGTAATTCAGTGTTCTTGGTACTTAGGTCTCTCATAGTTTCTTGGATCTGTTTCTTTTGAGCAGTTTTATATCTGTATAATTTATTCTAATATTGTCATTCCTTTGGGGTGATTGACTTATCTCTGTGGTTTTCTTGTTTTCTTCACGATTTGAGCTCCAAAAAAAAAGGAACATTAACAGCAAAAAGAGAAGGGGAAAAGTGCTCTCTCCTCCTGGGCTGATTGTTTAATTACATACTTTGCCCTCTCCTTCGCTCACTCTCATTCTGTTCCACCCCCTTTTTCCTGCGCAGTTTCTACTTTTTCCCCTCTGAGGGCCCTCTTTCTCCCCACCGTCTTTGTTCCGATATATTTCCTATTATTATTATTTCCGGTCATTATTCTCTCTTTACTCTCATTACCTTTTTTTAGGCCCATCAGTGGCTTTAATCTTCCAGACTTCCACTCCTTCTCTTTGTCATTCCTACACTTATCCCTTTCGGGCTTCACTGGACTCCTTTCGTTCTTTGTGTCCTTTGGCCCGGTTGATCTAATAATCAGAAACCATTGGATTAATGCGTTCAGCTTGAATCCATTGCTACCATCGTTTGACTGCGGAGATTGACGTCGTCTTGTTCGTGTTGTGGTTGACTTTCAGGTTGGCATTCTCGCAGCCCCTAAAAAACCCACCCCCAAACCAAGCCGCTCCACCACATTCCAATTGACCACTGGGGCTAGACACGTCTTGGGCGATTGTCCCTATTCTGCTTCGTCTTCTGCTCTCCGTTCTCTCCGTTCTCTCTCTCTTTCTTCCTCCTCCCTCTTTCCTCTCTCTCCTTTTTTTCTAGTTCCCCTTCGTTTCGCCTTCTTTTGGCCTCCCAATTTTTCTATTTTGTTTTATTCTGTTTTCCATTCTTTCTTCTGCATTATCTTATTTTATTTATTTTTTTATTTCTTTGTTTACACTTACCTTTTGATTTCTCTTCATTTCCCTCTCTTTTCCCCCCTACCTCTTTTCGGGGGTGATCTTCAGCCCGGCGGCTTTTTTCCCCTTGGATGGTCTCCTGGCCATTCTCGACTGTCGTGTCAATTGCTCCGTCTGCCTCATTTCCCACCCCCTTTCGTTGGTGATAGCGATCCATTCCGTCGGCGACCAATTGCCCCCGTGTTCCCTCTTCTTTCGCTAGGGGACCGTCGCGTCCTGCTCGCTCGTTCCGCTCCCTCGCCATGCAAACCTCCGATGCCTCCAGCCTGCCGAGTCGTTTGATCCCTTCCAAGTTTTCTCACCTCAACACGGACAACACGGGCTTTTCCCACGGAGCATACAACTCCAACAACGCCCCTCTGCAGGGCCTACCGGATCGGAGCGCTCGTCGTGCCAACATTCCTGCCATTAACACCACCGCCGGCCACCATACCCCTGACGCCATGGCGACCTCCGGCACCGCGTTTGATATGAACTTCACCCCTCTCCTTCCGTCCCAGCTCCTCCTCGGCAGTCCTTTCCAGCCTGGAACCCCCTCGGCCTTTGCTTCGCCTCAATTCGCTAATTTCGGGGGATTCTCTCAGGCCAATGGCCCCGCTCATGCACAGAATCCGCAGAATCACCTGGGCAGTCCGACCCAACCCTCGCAGAACGCCGGTCTCTACTCGGGGATGATGTCCGCGGACGGGATGGGGAACTCCCAAATGCTCGCGGGCCCTCAATCCCCCGTGGGTGGCATGGGCGGTCTCGGCAACGCGGCGTTCGGCAGTCCGGCCGCTTCGGTGACCCCTGGTCTCCTGTCAGGTACGAGCCGCACCGTGTACCTTGGAAACATCCCCGCGGAGACCTCCGCCGAAGAGATCCTGAACCATGTTCGCAGCGGACAGATTGAATCTGTTCGGTTGCTGCCTGACAAGAACTGTGCCTTCATTTCGTTCCTGGATAGCAATTCCGCGACCCACTTCCATTCCGACGCCATCCTCAAGAAGCTCGCCATCAAGGGAAATGACATCAAGGTTGGCTGGGGCAAACCGTCCCAGGTTCCCACCTCCGTTGCCTTGTCGGTGCAGCAATCGGGCGCGTCGCGGAATGTCTACCTGGGAAATTTGCCCGAAGAGATGTCGGAGGACGAGTTGCGCGAGGAGCTTGGCAAGTTTGGCCCCATCGACACCGTAAAGGTCGTCAAGGAGAAGGCCATTGGCTTTGTGCACTTCCTGTCCATCAGCAACGCGATGAAGGCGGTGTCTCAACTTCCCCAGGAGGCCAAATGGCAAGCTCCGAAGCGCGTTTTCTATGGAAAGGACCGATGTGCGTACGTTTCCAAGACGCAGCAGCAGAACGCGGCTCAATTCTTGGGAATCGCACCGGGATACGCGCACATCCTCAACTCCGCGGATCGTGATCTGATCACCAACGCACTGGCTCAGCAGTCCGTTGCAGCCGCAGCCGTGGCCACTACGGCTGGCGGTGTCAACAACCTCGGCAATCGCACCATCTACCTAGGCAACATCCACCCCGAAACTACCATCGAGGAGATTTGCAACGTGGTGCGTGGTGGTCTTCTACATCACATTCGCTACATCCCTGACAAGCACATTTGCTTTGTTACGTTCATCGACCCCACTTCGGCCGCCTCGTTCTATGCGTTGAGTAACCTGCAGGGCTTGATGATCCACAACCGCCGCCTGAAGATTGGTTGGGGCAAGCACTCCGGCCCTCTCCCCCCGGCAATCGCTCTGGCTGTCAGCGGCGGTGCCTCGCGTAATGTCTACGTGGGCAATCTGGACGAGTCCTGGCCTGAGGAGCGCCTCCGTCAGGACTTTTCCGAATACGGCGAGATTGAGCTGGTCAACACGCTGCGCGAAAAGAGCTGTGCATTCGTGAACTTCACCAACATCGCTAATGCCATCAAGGCCATCGAGGGTATGCGCAACCGGGAGGAGTACCGACGCTTCAAGATCAACTTCGGCAAAGATCGCTGTGGCAACCCGCCCCGACAGACGGGCAATGGCGGCCAACAGGGCCGGAACGGCTCGGGACTCGAAGGACCGCAGTCGCCGTCGCCCGCTCTCAACGGCTTCCAGCAGAACCTGAGCCAGTCTGGATCTCAGTCCAGTCCGTCCCGTTCCGCTTTGTCCCCCGCGCCCGGCTCTACGGGATCCCAGAACGGCCAGCAGAACCGACACCCCCTCCAGACGGTGTCCTCGCCATCGGGGGTGTTGAACGTCGGAGCGAACAACCCACTTACTATGTACCTCAATCAGATGTCGGCGCAGCAAGCTCAGGAACAGGAGAACCGCCTGAGTGACCCCATCGCCCTGGCCGCGTTGCAGTCTCAACATCAACCACCCCAGCAGCAGCCCATGTACAACGGTGGCACCGGTGAACTAAGCAACGGCAACATTGAACCCCCTCTACATCAGCACAAGCCGTCCAGCAATGGCTTTTTGAACGTCACCAACGGTTCGACGGGGCCGGGTCATCACGCCACCGCTAGCACCAGCAGCCTGAATGTTCCTCGAGCGCAGCACTCGCGTGCCGTCAGTTTGCCGTCATTCTCGCAGGAGCCATTCGGACCTGTGTCCAGCCAACCCCATGGCGGTCGCTCGGGCGTTGCCCATCAGCCGCAGAGCAGCTTCTCCAGCTTCACTTCTGCCCTTGGAGGGTTGAACCATGCCGGCTTCGGATTGGCCATTCAGAATGAGAATTCGCTGCCAGGCTGGGCCGAAGAAGAAATCGGAGCCAAATAATCTTACATTCTCATAATTCATGAGGGGAAATCAGTTTTTTGACTTACACGCTCTTCTTTTTATGCCAGTTGTTCTGGATGCAGCATCTTATCTTTCACTTCCCACCCAACTTCCTTGGATCTCCCCTTCGTTTTTCTTGTCACCATTCTGATTCAATTCTCTGTACTGGTTTGACAAACTCTGTGTGTGTGGTTTAATCCCTTCGCCCGCATTTTTTCTGTGCAAATTTCGTTCTTCGCCAAACCCCCATTATAACCCTTTTAATCATTCTTCTTATACCATCCTTGTATTGCTAGTTGGGTATGATGTCTTGTACTTTCTCTTGTTTGTTTTATTCTAATTTTTTTTGTTTCCTCTTTCTTCCCCTTCATTTTATCCCTTTCTTGGCTATGCATAATTATTGAATTTCCAGTTGTCTACGAAAACGGACGAAATCGGGTTAACCCGGAGACTCGTTCTGAGATGTTCATCCTACTCATTAGCATTTGCGATGCCATTTGATGGAATTACATAGTTGTGGAGGTAATCAGCTGGGTATTGGTGATGGCATCGAGGCCATTGAGGACATTAGTGAAAGACGAATCCAAAAGATATCAATGTACACGATCTGCATCTCTTGTAGGGCCCATGGCATCCATAGATAAGACAATTCCTCTGGTCTCTGACTTTCAATCCAAGCCTACACAGACGGATTGTTGATGACGCTCGTCATTCTTCCCCATGCGGTTAAATGTCAACAGCGGTGACGCCAGACGCAGCACGTGACCGGGGCCGCTAAAGCGCGACCCATGGAACCTGAAGAACTTGGAGATCTTCAGATGTCAATTCCGTCACTCTCGTTCCCAGCTCGCAACAGTCATTCCCGTTGAAACGATGTCTTTGCCCCCAGAACAGATCAATATCAAACGTCGTCGAGAGGAGGAGCCCGTGGACACGCTATGTAAGAATACTTCCATCCTCGTGAACTAGGTAGCTTGGCGAGTTATCTGGCTAGCTATCTTGATCCTTTTTTTTCCCCTTCCCCACCTGTCTTTTCTGATCAGTCTGGGCTTCTCCCGTTAACCTTCTCGGTGACACGAAGACCGTGGATGGAAAGGAGAAGAATAGAATATTCCATCGTCTCTCTACACCTACTAACTTCCCATCACAGACATCCAGTCGGAATTGCACCAGACTAAGCGTCGTTTCACGGACTTTGTCTTCCAGCGAGTTCAAATCCGAAGCGGCGATGGCAACAAGGGCTCCCTCAGTCCATCGCCAGCCCAAAGGGATCTGCGCAGTCCGCGCTCGGTGAGCAGCGCATTCCCAGGTTCATCTCATTCCCGCACGGCCGCGTCGGGGGATACGGGGGTGCCATTGGTGAGGGCCACGTCGCCGGGGGCTGAATTCCGTGAAGCCAAACGTCTGGCGGCAGTGCGTAGGGAAAAGGAGGAACAGTTAAAGCGGGCGCTGCACTCGTCGCCATCGTCGACGAAGTCTGCCGGTCCAGGTCGCAGCGCTGGAGATGGCGATACGGAGCCTGCTGCGACGACGGCAACGTCCAGCGGCAGATCGAGTCCCGCGCCGTCTGCGTCCCCGGGCATGCGACGCTTTCAAATTTCTCGCAGCAAGAGTCTTCTACGAGGTACAGCGGCTGGGGCAGGAGTGCAGAAACGCAAGGGAGACGGGGCAATCGCGGTGCTAGTGGAGAAGTTAAGGCGCAAACCACATTCCAGACAAGCATCGATGGTCGCGGATGCCGCCGTGCGGGCGGAAGATGTCAGGGGGTCGTCGGATGTCGCTGCTACCAAAACTACCGATTCGCGTGACAGTTCAATGCTCCATGAGGATGCACCGACTGCCGCTCGCCCCCGCAAGCGACCGGTCGTCAACAAGGCAGAGAGACAGTGGCGGGAGGAGCGTAAGACGGCCATCGACGCGGCCAAACGGAACATCAACCAGGTGTTGGAGAAGGAGGCCCAAACTCAGCACCAGAGCAACTGGGACGATGAATCGGAGCGACTGGCTCGCGAATTCGAGCAAATCGCATTGGAGATGGAAGGGGCGATGGAAGAGGACACGGAGGACGTCATGCCCGCACCGACGTCGACGCAGGGCCGGTCTGCTCCGGTGATGCCCAAACCGCCGTTGAGATACTTACCTCGTACACCCAATAAGCTTCGGGCTGGGAAGTCTGCAGAATTGCCGCAAGGGGGCGAAGAACCGGTCAAGGCTCCCGTGGCTGCTACGGCCGAAGAGGTGGAACACGAGGAGGACAGCGACGGAGAATATGTCTACGATACGTATATTCGAAAACCCTTGCCGGAGGGGGGAATTGGCGACGGAGACATCAGAGACAAAGGCGGCGATCTGCTTACGAACCCATTGGCCGATTGGCAACAGAACCAAGACGCTTGGTTTCGGCAGAAGGGTATCGACACGACCCGTGCCGATGTTGGGGTCATCATCATTACGCAAGAGGACGAGGAGTATTGGGAGCATTTTGTTGAGGAGGATGACGATGAAGACCGCTGGGACAGTGAAGATGGCGATTCAAACGGTAAGTGGCAATCAAACGATATGCCGGGGAGAAGCCGACGACGAAGACAAAAGCACCAAGAAAAGAACGCGAAACAGGCTGACGAAGGGGCGTGCTGAATCTAGCTGAGAATAATCCCGCCAATGAATATCCGGACGAGGACCTGTCTTGGGACGATGAAGATGACGATCCCATGGCCATCTACCACAAATACCGCCACCACGCGGTGTCAGACGATGAGGAATTCGACATGAACGATTCGGCCAGTGAAAGAGCGTTTGGCTACTCTGGGCACCGGTCGCACGTGGAGTCCGATGACGAGAGCTGGTGATTTCCTTTTCGGTTTCTATTCTTCTTTTTCTTCTTTCCCACGGGTGGCTGCATCCGATCAATTATCATTATCGTCATGATTTCATGCTTCTCAACGACATCCCACGCCCACAAGAGAGACCGACTGAGAGAACGAGAAAAAGCGGGGTTTCTTTCAATCCTGTCAGGAAATCACACCCGCTGATGAAACGGTCGATCGCATCCTTTTGATCGGCTCTTGTCCCTACTTCATACTCAACGTGGTAATCCAGACCCCCGATCATCGCCTTGCATGAGAATAGACCCAATATGCAATTACCGAGAGACCTACCTTTCCGTAAGCAAGGCTAGACATTTTTATCATTTATTTTTCTGGCATTCGGGACAGATTAAAAAACAAAGACACCAATCCGACGCATGCATGCAGCTTATACCTGCATCGGGGCCATTCTGCAGCATCCTCTCCAACCGCAACGCAACGCGAGGAGGGCAACGACTCATTGACGTGTCGAGGTGGAGAAGGTAATTGAAGGGGATCCAAGCATCACCCAGCCCCAGGGGGGGACTAAAACATACGAATGCGACCAAACTCACCTCTCGACCGTCTCCGGCAGCGACGAAATGCAGAAGAGATAGCTCGGGAAGGGGGGGCGAAAGCGACAGGATTCTCATCCTTCGATCAACCGATTGCAGAAAATCAAACATCCCAACCCGCGCGTGGCCGACTAGTTTAGTCTCACTCCGTGCAAAGTCCGTACGGAGTAGGCCATGAAGGAGGTCATCGACTATTCAATTGGCTTGTCGCAAGAAAAATCCTACTATTCCGTACTCCGTGGACGGACTTGAAGATCGAGTCTTTCACACACGGACATGGACATGAGACTGGATGAAGACCTAACTCCGTACGGACGACGGAGTTCAACTAGACAACTTAGTACTCCGGTTGACCCCGGTGATTTTGTTAGTACAGTAGGCCCTACTAGGATTACAATCCTTCAAAGCGGTCAAAATCCTTCAAGCACCGCCTTCCTAATTAGTTTTAGAATGAAGCTAATGAAACCTCTTGGTGGCTCAATCCTAAAGACCTCTACCTATGAATATCTAGTCTATATAGACTCTTTCTACAATGCCTACTACACCTGAGCCCCCTGAAGTGCCTGAATCAAGGCAGAATTCCGCACGCCTTCAACGAGATGATCGAATTCGAGTCCTAGCCCTACGGGATGCTGGACTTACGTATCAACAGATTACCTCACAGCTTCAAATGACCTATCGGCAGGTCCAATATACATGTCAATCTCATCAAGCTACTCCTAAAAAAGCACGTGGACAGAGACCTAAGCTATCCGAAGAAGATGTTGATCATATTATTGAATTTATATCTTTATCTAAGTGAAATCGACGCATGCCTTATTACAAAGTTGTTCAAGAATTAAGCCTTCCTGTTGGAACAACAGCCCTATCTCGAGCACTTAAAAAACGAGGTTATACACGATGCAAAGCCCTCCGAAAGCCACCTCTATCAGATCAGAATAAGCGCGTACGTTTAGCTTGGGCCCTTGAGCATGTGAATTGGACAATTGAACAATGAAATCGAATTCTTTGGTTTAATGAGACTTGGGTTACTTCAGGCTTTCATAAACGATGCTATGTGACAAGAAAGACAGGTGAAGAGCTTGATGAGACCTGTTTACGCACTTCTCCTTTAAAAAAGCGTGGCTGGATGTTTTGGGGATCCTTTCATGCCTTTTATAAAGGTCCATGTCTTTTTTGAGAAAAGAAATGGGGCTATATCGATTCAGAGAAATATTCTGAGCGGATTGTACCTATTATTGATGGCTATATTCGTCTACTTCGGCAACAAGATAATCCAGTTCAGCTTATGCAAGATGGTGCATCAGGCCATGCTAGTCAAAATACTCTTCGTGAGCTGAATGAGCGAAAGATCTATCCTATTTCATGGCCTGCCTTCTCACCAGATCTTAATCCAATTGAAATGGTGTGGAATTGGATGAAAGACTGGATTCAAGAGCGATATCCTGATAATTATCAGCTATCTTATGATTCGCTACGAAAGGTTGTACGGGCTTCATGGAATGCAGTGCCTGAGGACTTTCTAAGGGGCCTTATTGAATCTATGCAGACAAGGTGTCAGGCTGTGATAGAGGCAGAG